GCAGCCAGGTTGGGTATAAAAACCAAACACGTGGGCCTTGGGGGGCTCGCTGTCGCTGGCCTCCTGGCTTTACGGCTCCTGGCTGGTGGCCAGCTCTCAGAGCGCCATTTTGGGATTCCTGATCGGCAGATCGGGTAGGATGCATTTAAAACTTTGTCTCCCACTTTTCTCCCTGAGCTGTACATTTCCTCATTTCCCCTTCCCTTGTAAATAAACCTTTTATTAACCTTTCGCGTGTGCCTGCAGTAGAGCATTGATAAGTCCTTTTAAGCACGTGGGTGAGGACCCACAGTCAGGCACCCCGTTTTGTATCAGGGCTGCTCTACAACAGTAGGACACATCAAAGACTTTATTTCCCTATTTTCTCCCTGAGTTGTACATTTTCCTTATTTCCTTTTCCCTTGTAAATAAACCTTTTATTAACCTTTTGTGTGTGTCTGTAGTGGAGTATTAATAAGTCCATTTTAAGCGCGCGGGTGAGGACCCACAGCCAGGAACCCGTTCAATATTGGGGGTGTCCTATAACAGAACTTTAATACAATTGGTAAACAATACAGGAAAGGCAAGGAATCTAGTTTCCAAATCAAGCACCCAAAGTTACCCATCCCCTCGTGGGTAAAAGTCCACCCAAGCAGGATTGGCCCAGAGCAAGGCCCCAAAGCATCTAAAGCATTTTCCAGTGGGGACCCACAGAAAAGCATCAGAAACAAACAGACAAGTCTGAAAGGAAAAGAGCAAAATCAAAATCAAGATAAAAACCGCCATTGTCACCTCCCCACCGGTCTCTCACCGGCATCTGTGTCACCCATCCACGACAAAAAGGCAGGTGTAGTTTCTTCACATGTCTCTTGGCTCCATGTGCCTCCTCCAGGTCTCCTGGCTCCATCTTGCTTCCTTCCTTCCTCAAGTCTCCTCTGCATCTTCTTCTCTCTCTGCTCAGTTCCACCCTCCTTTCTGGGTGGGGCAGGAAACCTGGACCCTCCCCCTTTCCTGGGGACCACCCTGTTACAATTCCAACATGAAGAAGCTGGGCAGAGAAATTATGGAAGGGGACAAAGAGGACTGAGCAGTGACCACAAACCAGGAGAAGACCAAAAGTCCAAGAGAGGAGAATGCATAGCTCAGAGAGGGCACTGGTCTGCTAAGAGGTTGAATAAGAGGACAGCAGAGAGGTGACCTATGGATTTGTAGCAACGAGGTTCTAGTGTATTTGACAAGAGCAGTTTCAGGGGGTGGGGGAATGCAAAATGAATTGAATTTTTTGAGGAACTAAGGGGAAGTAAAGAAATAGATGCAGGAAAAATAAATAGTTCATTTGAGAAGTTTTGTTAGGAAACAGAACAGAGAAATAAAACAAGATCTGAAAAAGAACCAGCATTAAGGAAACATGTACTTTTCTGTTGGTTGCTTTGTCTTTTAAGCATAGTTAACAGAGTACATTCTCTGAAGAGAGGGTTATTTTAATGGGCTACTTTGTTGTTACTATTGAAAGTAACTCACATCTAATATATAAAGCTATAGATTTTCAGGATTAAATAACTAAATAAATGCAAATGATTCACTTGTAAAAATGTGACCTCTGGGGCATTGCCTCACATTCTTACTTAAAATTTAAATGAATTTTTCTGCATTAGCCTTGAGGTTTGAGTAACTCAGGTTTAAATTTTTTGAGTTGAATTATCATATGTCCTGGTTACATTCCTTATTAAGGCAATACCTAAATTCCTCTTTTAGGGTAACAAATGTATGAAAAGCTAAGTGATGAGAGTGGAAAGACTAATACTGTGTCAGCCAAAGTGAAGCTCTGAGGGCAAAGAAGACATTTTCAATCATTTTCCAATAAATCTCATGACAGTCCTCTCTCTTTCTAAATAAATTCAAGGTAGCACTTCAGAATTACATTTACCCTGTTTGAAATCACTGCATTTGGGAGGAACGATCTATTAAGGAATCATGAACTGAGCAAGACAGCTAGCCCCTTGTCTGTCATGTGGGGAAATAAGAATTCTGGAATCCCAGGACTCGACCAGCAGTCCCTCCCCATTGCACTCTGGAAGGCACCTTTCGTATTTTATTCAGTGTGATGGCAATCTCTAGAATTTCGCAATACAAAGTCAGAGTCAGCCAGACACTGTTTACCCTAAAACATAACCCACCAGCCCCCAAAAAGACCTTTAAAAATCCATGGTATTTGGTGCACACTCACCAGTTTCAGCTTCTATTTTCCTTCCCACTAACTTCTGTCCAGATTTGGATTCATCACTATTAAATCAGATACTCACTTTTAAAAAATGTGTTCTTTCACATTTGTGATCATTTGAAGTTAGTTTGAATACATGTGTATATGAGATTCAGTAATATTTCATGACAACCAAATTCCCACTCTATTCTGACAAAAAGAAATGTTCTGACCAGGAAATAGATTTTATGAACAAACTGTCTATTTTCTCACTCTCCTAGAGTCATAATTTATTCTTCGACAGAAATATCAGGATAGGGCCACCCTGGTGGTGCAGGCAATTGAGCGCAGCGCTATGAAGCTGTCCACAGCCTCTGCAGTGCGGGTTCCATCCTGGCCGACCAGAGAGATACCCACATACTATGGCAGACCTCTCCTGTCTCGCCTGCTGCTCCCCTCAGCAGTGTATTTCAGTCAGTCTGCCTGTTCTGTTCCCCGCTCTGTCTCTAGTGAATCCTCTCACCCTCCCACATATCTGGCCTGTACCCTGGTTCTTGTATGTGTGAATAAATAAATCTTTTTTTAAAAAAAGAAAGATCAGGATATAAATATTCACTCACAAAATTGTCTTACTATTATAAAGTTTAGGAATATTGCTTCTTCAAAGTTACAGAATGAATAGCCTGAGCCTTACATTGATCTGTGAGTCGTGTCAGAGGCTTCATGTGTGTCATACGCACACCAGTTTGTGACATGGAGGAAAATTCTAGATGATTCCTAACAACTTCTCCCAGTCTGACATGTCTCCTAGATTTGGTTCACACACTGACAAATAAGTCAGTAAGCATGAGACCAAGAACTCTGTGGTCACTGAGACTTGGAATGAAACACAAAGCACAGTTTGACGAGCAATGTTTTTCATTTAGGTGAAGAAGATTGCTGAGTTTGTGAATGCATACAGACAGCATGTTTAGATAAAAGTTAAAATTTCAAAAAGTTATTTGCTCAAGAACTAAAGTTAAGAGACAAGAAAAAAACAATGAACACATGTTGAAACTCCATTTGTTCAGACTATACTTCAGATAAATGAGTCCTGTCAGGCAGTAAATAAAAGCCTCTTCCAAAGAAGTTCAAGGTCTTGGAAAAAAGTCACAGGAAACTACTTCACACAGTAGCCTAGAAATCACAGACCTTCTCTGCTACTAAGGAAGTATGTATGTATACATATATACATATAAACACACACATACTATATATACACATACATATATATACATACATATATATACACATACTTATATTCTTAGTTACATGACTCTCTTTTCTTTATGAAGACCTTATCAACCCAGCTGATCTGTTCCTGAGGGAATATATAGAGCAGTCAGGGAGGAAAAATGTAGTCAGTTGAGATTAGGAGAATCCACTGGGAGACCCTCCCATCCAGCAGGACTGGGAACTGTATGACTCAAGGTGCCCCTGATTGACCACAGTTGCTCTGGATTCAATCATGAGTGCATGAAGCCTTCTTATCACAAGGGATTGATGGCTGGAGGAATTAGAGGTTAAAGCTGACGGCTACACAATTCCATTCACAGGTACATGCTCGTCCCTGGAATGAGGGTGGTTGCTAAGCTCTAACGGGTCTCACATGCCACTCAGAGAGGCCATATGGTTTCTAGATGTCATGTTATTTTTTCATTTCCAGGAACTGTTTCAGAGATCTATGGTATTCTGCCCCAGAAACACTAGTTTTCCACTCCCTTTTCAAACTTGCCAAGCTTTTTGAATCTGAACATTCTCTGCTCCCTTCTCTAGTGTAAAAGAGAGGAAGGACTCATCTCCTAAGCCCCATTTCCATGCAGAGGACATACATTCATCCATCATTCATCAGATGTGTTTTCATTTCATTTGTTTAAATCTTCTGTCATTTCAACTATCAATAAAATGTTTAAATCTCTTCAGTGAGGTCTTAAAGTAATAAATAGCACATGAATTTCTGCTGATGAAGAGGCAGTTTTAGAGTGATTTGTTCAGACACAAGCAGTAAAGACACAATTCTGACCCTGAGATCAAGCTCCTTAGACTTTAACTAGGGAAAAGACACAAAAAAAGATCCTCTAAATAAGCAGGAGACTTTCGAACTAGGATCCCAGTAGCTATGAGTGCATCAGTGGTGGCCACCAGGAATCCATCAAAGGTCTATTACCAACTACCACCACATACAATAATTTTTTCTCTCTTTCCTCTTTCTATTTCATCTCTCTTTCCTTCTCTTCTATATTGTCTATGTCATTTTTACTCTTCTTTGGAGTAAGGATTCCTAATCTTTGGACTTTTCCTCTTATCCCTACAACCCTATTTGTTCTTATTGCTGAGAATTCTATTTTACTTTAATGAGCAACTATCATTAATGGTTTCCAGAAAGGATTCAACTGTCATCTCCACACTGACAGTTTCACACACTGTGAATCCTGCTGTCCAGGGGGGAAATATTTGTAACAACTCTATTTCCTAGCTCCCTTGTAGCTACACTGCAGACCTGAGGCTTTACTTGAGAGATGAGCCACATAATAACAGTCTATGCAGAGACATCCCTTTTGAGGGGGACAGGGGAGACAGACAAGTAGGATCTAGGGTTGGCAGCAATAACAGTTTCTGGATTCGACCAGGAGCAGTAACTTCCTGGCTGGAGCTGTTTGGCTAAGCATTCTGTGACTGATGGCAAAGGGCACATCCTGTGCAGGGTATCATCACCACAGTCCAGTGGTCCTGTGACTGGTATGGGCACAGTTGAATGGTGGTTCTTCAGTTCTCCTAGAAGTCAGGCCCAGAGTCTGTTTTTCCAGACTGCTAGTGATTGTGTGAATCACCTGATGGTTCCCCAAAGCCTTAATTTTAGGCACAAGGAAGTTTAATAATTGGCCCTAGTTAAGGTACTCCCAAGATTTGAATTCCAACCATCTGACTTCATAGCCCATATGGCTTCTCAGAAAGCAATCATTTATGTTCCCTCTGCTCTTACAAAAGCATGTTAGTAAACTGGCTATCTAAATCCCCAGCCCTAATCTTTTTTGTGACAAAGTAACATTTTTATATGAACAGATGTATGTTTCAATTCTGATAATCCCTTTTGCCCTCCAATCCTTCTCATATGATGCAAGAAGTCCTGACTATTTATACTGGAAGAGTACAAGAAAATCATGACCACAAAAGAAAACAAGAATATATAAATTATTTGCTTTCAAACTTCACAATAAAATTTGGAAATTCTCTGAAAACAATAAAATGTAAGTAAAGGATTTTGAGTTTGGGCGATGACTTTAGAGTATAAAAGAACAATCTATGCCTTAAAAATATTTCTGAGAATATGGGATGGTACAAAGACCAATTATATGACCCTAGATGTAATGCAAATTTTACTTTGTCTGTGGGAATTCCAAGGGGCACTAGACACAAAAGCAAGAAGATTAGTGAAGATCTTTATGCCTACCTCAAACTCCCTCGCACTAAAGTGGTGGGAAAGGACAATAATGGAGCCACAAAGAGTTTAGTAGGAATTTAAGAGTAGGAGACCAATGACTGACAGAAAGTCTGAACAAGTTTTTGCCAGGGCAGAAAGAGCATCTAAGTTGTATCAGTGGGTACAACAGAATGGGGCTGACCTGGGTGGAGTTAGAGTAGATGAATTTCCACATGCACAGAAAAAAAGCATAAGAATGCAAAGCGCCCAAGTGAATCTGAAAGGGGGATGGGGAGTCTCAATTTTATGATGAAAAGGACAAAGAACATACAGATCAACAACGAGAAGCCTACAGGGACTCAGACACCAGACCCAAGGAGGGCACCCCATCAGGTGCCAGCACGGGCCAGGTGTCCCCAAACTAGACACCTTTCAAACCTCTAGAACTCAGATGTCAACCCAAGGAGTGAGAGGGAAAAAACTAAACTCTGGAGAAAATACTGAATTGACTTAAAAATTCATGATTTCATCCTATATTTGCTTAAAGTCCATCTTCTGATACCAGGCAAAATGGTTACTAAAGTTAGAAATTAAGTTGTTATAGAAAATAAAGAGTTGTCCTGTTTTGTCCAGCTGAGTAAATTGCCAAGTGTTTGCTCACAACATCTCTGTTCAGCAGACCAGTGATACTCAAGGTCTTTGCTGCTCCTGCACAATGACAAATGACCTTCGCAGAATACGAGCCCCCAGGGTATGTGCTGTTTCTAAGACCAGGAAAGAAACACTGCAACTGAGAACCACTAACCTGGATGCTCATTAAAAAAAAAAAAAAATAGCTTGGGTTAGTATGGAATTTGCTGTAACCCTGAAAAATGGGAATTTGTTACTAGAAGCACTGGAGGAAGACATATTCCCGTTAAGAGAGCCTGCAGACAGGGTGTTAGGATGAAGGCAGCAATTGGTAAACAGGCACATAAACAAACACTGAGAACAGTAAACACATAAGATAATTCATTTGAACACTTTTATATGCAATATGTATAGGATTTAAAATAACATTTCCAAGCTAAACTGAAAACATTACTATGTAAATGCCACAACTAAGTCAAATGAAAGAGTAAATACCAGCCTTGCAAATTGGTCTCCCTTAAGGGCACTTGGAGGCTAGGATTGCAGGCTGCTCTCCCAAGAATTGTCCTCCTGTCCATCAATCTTTCCTGTTTTGACAGCAAACCCATTGACCGGCATATGTTTTGGAATTTCTGAACAATTGACTTTCAAAGCCTAACAAACGTTCATTCTCCACCTTCTTAGAAACCTCATAGGAGCTACTGTGGCAATAAAAAATATCATAAATCTAACCCAAAAACTGCATCACTTCAAAGAGGCTGGCTGCCCCCTCCCCACTTCCCTCTCCACATTGTTTGCACACATCTGTGTGGGTGCTCTTGTAGAATAGGCCACTATGCCAGCAGGAGGTCATCAATCAGCAGGTGTCACCCAGCACAGGTACAGAGTGGCTTAATGGAAAAATGGAGTCTTTTTTTATTGCTTATTGTCACCCACTAAAATATAAGTTGCTTGTTGATCTCATCACACTGAGTTATGTCTGGGTGAAGGGTTGAAAAGGCCCAGTCTGCACATTTTTTTAAAGTTTTGAAATAATGGCTTAGTGAACAAATGTAGACTTTGTTCCAGAAGCGCTTTGTGGAAATCCATTTTTACAAGGTTCAAATATCCTTAGTTTAGCCCTGATTAAAAGCCAAAGTTAAAACTAAAAGCCATTTTTTCATTTTCAAAAGACATTTGACAGAAATTTTAGGAAATGATTGACGTGAGGACTTTTGAGACTGAAAACACTGGGTTAACAATAAGCTTTTGTTTAGTGAAACAAATTATAGGCATAGGACAGAGATAAAAAGCACATGCTCCAGGTTCAGACTGTCTATATTCAGAGCCTGCATGTTGGAGCTCTGTGACCTTGAACAAGTTAAACCACTTCTCCACACTTCAGTCTTTTTGAAAAATTGGGATCATAAATAATAGCTACCTCATAGGATTGACAGTGCCTGCCACATAAGTGTTCAATTAGTGCTAGTTATTACCTGCATATCAGTAGATAAGAGCAGCAGTCAAGGAATAGTTACCTGCCAGTGCCTATAAAATGTAAGCTAAATCTATTTTTTGTATCTTATATGGATAATAAAATTTTCTACTTATGTCTGTTCATTAAAAAGAACAAAGAGCTTTCCTAAAATATTGAAAATATTATTCTAATGGTTCCAAGAACCGTTAAATAGGGACATTTGTTGCAGAAACCTCACTTCTTAGATGTTTGTAGAGAACACTGATTATTGTCATTGGAAGCTGTGCTTACCATAGGAGGCTGTTCTGACTCACCAACCTTGTGATTAGTAAGTAGCTAAATGTAGTGTGCTGATTTAGCCTAATTTATTTGATCAATAAAAAAACTGTGCAGATTCTCCTAAATTGGGGAACAGTGCTAAAGCATTCTAAAGGCATTCTTCATTGTAAAACTAAATTTAAAAAAAAGATGATTCTAAAAGATTTATTTTAAATCACAATGCAATACCTCTATTTGAAATGACAACCAAATCTAATCTGACAGCATTCAGCTTACTTTCAGATTTATTCATTGTTTTCTCAACTTCAACAGCACTTGAAAACCTATAAAGGAAGGAGGGAGTATCCTTTTTCTTCTTCAATAGTTACATGAAGATGCTTTTTAAAAGTCTTTCATATTTAGGGCCTCCCTGGTGGCGCAAGGGGTTAAGCACCGCATTACGAAGCAATCCGCACCTTCTGCAGCATGAGTTCGATCCCCGGCCAGCCAGGAAGCAACCTCTCCTGACTCGCCTGCTGCTCCCCTCAGCAGTGCATTTCAGTCAGGCTGGCTGTTCTGTACCCCACTCTGTCTCTGGTGAAACCTCTCACCCCCTGCATCTTTGGCCTGTACCCCAGCTTTTGTATGCATAAATAAATCAATCTTAAAAAAAAAGTCTTTCCTATTTGTCATATCTTCAACAAGTAACTCTTACAGTATTCTGAAAGTATGATAGCAATGATGAATAAAAATCAACATTGTTCCCTTCTTATCTTTAATTGTGTGGGACAATGCAACATGTCCTTTTCCTAAACTCTCTGACCCCACCTGAAGGAGACATGGAGGATGTGCCTGTGAATTAAGGGATGAAGAACTAAGGAAGGCCCAGGACCCCTTGCTTCCTATGGCCTGCAGTCCTAAGTAGTTTGGGGGGCAAAAAAGAAAAGGGGGAAGGACAGTGAATTCAGAGAGAGGGTGGTGCCCTGTCCTTCTCACACCCACCCTAGTTTGGTATTAGCTCCTAACTGACTCTTATACACCCTGATAAAAGGTGTCCAGAAGAGCTCATCAGATACCCCCAAAGCCATCTCCAGAGAAGACACATGGTCCCCCAACACGGAACTCAAATGGGCACCAGCATGTGAGAACTGTGAGATAGGTTCTGGTTACAAACCAGAGACTGAGATTAACATTGATGTTCAGATAACTCCATTCCAGAATCTTTCTCTATGATGGATCACACACACACACACCCCTCCAACTTTTAACCCTGGGTCAGCCCTCAGTAAGGGATGTTCTGCCTAAGTCCCATCTACTGGTGGGTGGGTCTCAACTATTTTAAATATGGGAACCTCTTTTTTAAAGCCCAAGAGTTTGTAGATAGTAATACATTTTCAATATCCATGATTGAAAATACAGTAACATTTAAAAATAAATTTATTTTCATTTTTACTAATTGAATATTTTCACCCTGAAAGAAATGTGTGTATTGAAACTTATCATAGTGCCCGGCACAGTGAAAACACTCAGTAAAGGTTAGCTGTAATTCCCTCTGTTGTTGATGTTTACTCAAAATATAGGAAATGCCTGTTGCACATGTGGATTCTGTGTCCTTATAGTTACTCAATAACTCATAGCTATACCAGACTCCAGACTTTTAATAGCGTAACTTCACCTGAGTCATATTTCACTATCAGCAGCATCTAGTGCTATGTCTTGCTTATAGATGATTTCCGATGGAATAATTGAATATACTTCCCTAAAATGTCATGAAAAAATGAGTTATCTTAGTTTTGTTGCTTAGCATTTTTCAACTTCTCCAGTGTTTTTTATGTATAAATTTCTTTTTTAAAAAAACAAAAGCAAAGAAAATTTATCTTAGTTACTCATGAAAGGTTAGAAAAGCTTCTAGAAAAGGAGTTGGTGGGACAGACATTGTTTTCAATATGCCCCAAGCATCATTTTACCTGAGGAGCCAACGTATTCTCTGGTTACCATAGAAAACAAAGTAACTTGACCCTATATGGT